GGACCTCTCCAGAACCAGGAGACCCCTGGACTAACTAGACAATGTCTCTCCAAAACCAGGGTCACAGACCCCCTGGACTAACTGGACTGTACCTCTCCAGAACCAGCAGGCGCCTTTACTAACTGGACTGGGGCTCTCCAGAACCAGGAGACCCCCTGAGTAACTGGACCGGACCTCTCCAGAACCAGAGTCATAGACCCCTGGACTAACTGGACCGGGACTCTCCAAAAACCGAGACCCCCTGAGTAACTGGACTGGACCTGTTCTAACTGGACCGGACCTCTCCAGAACCAGAGTCATAGACCCCTGGACTAACTGGACAGCCGCTCACTCAGGGCAAGTTGTATCGGACGCAGAAGTTCACATACGGCTTGAAAACACGAAAAAAAGGCCAGGAGTCCCATCCTGGGAGACAGCTGTCCTGCCACTGAAAGCGCAGTGGCAGGTGCACACAAGCAGTAGGCGTTTCATGGGCACAACAGACCAGACCGAGTTTCAAATGAAAACTATTTTTAAAGGCTGACTTCCGCTCATGAGAGGAAGAGGAAACCCCAACCGAAGATGAAGGCCGTTCGCGTTCGGCAAATGGGCGGTTCACTTCCTTTCGAATAAGCCCATTAGAAATGCATTTCTTAAACTTATCGAAGCCTGAAGGCACGTTACCGTTAAAAACGCTAATTCGCATTGAATTTTGAATGTTTCCCACTTATGCAATTGTAAAGAAAGAGAATATGAAACTTAATATTTCATATTCCTCACTTTACCGAAGCAGCTGAACGCTTGGTAACCGTGGGAACCGACTCTGGGAAGAGTCCTGCGTTTGAACAGTGCGACGTAGATGTAAAGGCGTGTTTACAGACGACTTCGAAATGTAAAAACGTGAACGCTGTGCGGACCTCGTTTTTATTTACTCTGTTTAAACTTTTGTCATGGCGTGCGTATCCCTGCCGACGTTATTGACATGTTACATGTTACTCCTGTCTGTGTTACATCTTTTTCTGTTGTTAAAATAAAAAAAACAAAACAAGAATCCTAGCACGAATCAAACACGATCGATACAATAACCAGATTAGGTCCTCGACGGTCTGCACTCTAAAACAGAGAATTCCTCGGGCGATAGAGCTGGTTTATAAATTCAGGCCAGTCTGTTCTTGGCTATTTAAGCATATATGCCGTCCCCTAGTGACCAAACTGAGCTACTGCAGCGTGAGTTTCTTCGCCGCTGGATGACAATAGTAGCTCTTCCCAGGTCAAGGGGGATCCCCTCCACCACCCCCAGTGTGTACCCCTCCTGGGTGATGCGCCAGTCCTCTCCCCACACACCAGCTCTCAGTGGGGAGGAGAGCAGAGCAATGAGGCCAGTTCAGAGAGGGGGGTGATCAGGAGGCCATGATGGGTCAAGACCAGGGGGGTATTTGACCAGGACACTGGGGTAACACCCCTACTCTTCTCCAGAGACACCCCGGGATTGTTAATGAGCACAGAGAGTCAGGACCTCGGTTTGGCGTCTCATCTGAAGGACGGCGCCTGTTTACAGTCCAGTGTCCCCGTCGCTATGCTGGGGCATGAGGACCCACACAGACCGCAGACCCACTCACACCTCCTTAATAAGCTTCAATGTCAGGTGTCATTTTTGCAGTGGTGAGACAGAAGCCGAGATGGACGGACGCAAGGTGGGCTCTACTCTTTTCGTCACCTGTGAGTACTTATTCAGATCAGCATTTTACACCAAAAAGCCGCCTCAAAAGTCTTCCTTGACGTGCTGCGCGTTTTCTGGGCGCGCCGATCTAGAAACGACACTTCACAATCTTTCCCGTCTTCAAATGAAGGCTCAAGCGTCAGTACGAGTAACTTAAAACACCTTTTCACCTTCTGTTTGGTTGTGCAGTTGTTTGAGAGCTTAGTTCTAGCCTTATTAGTACAGTAAACCTTTACTGAACAGAACTGACACTTGTCACATGTGGTTTCAATTAGTCACTGAAACAAGCTCTGCTTTCAAGTAACAAGCAACACACTTGGGAAACGAGCACAGAGAAAGACTTTATAGGTCAAAATTAAATGCAACAGAAAATGTAGGAGAAATATCCCGTAGTAAGAGTGTGGCATGAAATGGAAGTTTTCAAACACGCCGGTTAACTACATTCGATGTTTTTAAAATGGTGTTGGAATTTCCCTACTGCTGCTGCAGCTGCATATCTGCCTACAGACGTGCCAGATTCGAACACAGACAAAGCAACAGTGAGCTATTCCTCGAGAAGCAGAGAACTGTAATTTTTTTATTTTACAGCTATAATGTGCAACAAAACCTAGTTCCACGGTTACTTCTAGGGTGAAGAGAAACAACGACTGCCTCAGATTAGGGGGTTAAAAGAACATTTTTCAGGAAAATCTCTGATGGAAATATACAGCCATCTCAAACAACCCAAGACCATCTTACACTCCCACATCTCTGAAATCAGATGCGAGAGTCGTCGGACATTCTCAGGACCGACGAGCAACACTGAGCACCTGGGCCTTGGTGCTTCATGTGTCTCACCACCGCGCGACTCCTGGCTTGAAATTCAACGCCAAACCGAGCTAAATCGCAGAGACAGATGGGTTTGCTCTGCAGCAACGTCACTTGGATTCCAGAGATCACGGCATTCGTTTCGTGACCTACTTCCACAGCGTGCTTTCTCAAGCGAGAATGTTGTGTGCGCTGACCTACGTGCCCCTGTGTTCATTCAAATGTCCAACCAGCACCAGCTTCACCATCTTCACCATCCTCCTTGTCTTTCCCAAACCCACTGACAATTTAAGTGGTGACGAAGTGGTGACGAAGTGGTGACGAAGAAGAAAATCACTATTTCCGATCAAAAAGAAAAAGAACGTGATCGAGATCAGATCGCGCAATCGTTATGCCTGTCGTCGCTAGAGACGACTAGTGAAGGAATCTGTGCACCGACTGATACACAATCGCACACACCTGACACTGCCACACAGCTGTGCACACACACGGATACACAACTTGACCCATCATGGCCTCCTAATCACCCCCCTCTCTGAACTGGCCCCATCCCTCTGCTCCCCTCCCCACTGATGGATGGTGTGTGGGGAGCGTTCTGGAGCATCATTCGCTGACTGGCACACTTTGGCTGCCGTGGCGTCACATTGGTGGCGGTAGTGGGATCCTGTGTGAACTGTAAACAGCTTCAGAAGAGGAATAATAAGGGGATTCTTATGTTTAACTTACTAGAGAAGGAAAGGGAGGCCCCCGGCCCTCCCCAGCACCCCGGAATCGGACTGCCCTGCCTGATCGTGCTGCTGTCGGCCCTCCCCCTGTCCGCCCTGGCCTCGTCCTGCTGCGTCTTCTTCATCCTCCTCCGCGGGAGAGGTAGGGCCGCCCTCTTCCTCCCTCCGCTGCGTGACAACTGCTCCCGACACCGATTTCCCGTCCTCTCAGCTCGGCCTCAATCTTTTCATAGCCTGCGTTCTCCATCCTTTCCAACGGCTGGTTTCGAGAACTACTGAGATCACCAGATACAAGCCCCAAGCATTCCAGTTCCGAGCCTCTTAATACTGTGGTTGAGCACCAGGTAAGCGACACCTCGGGGTGCTCCCCTGCAGCTGTGGGGCCGTGCTCGCCAAGCCTGCGGGAAGAGACCGAGCCGAGGGGAGAGATCTGAAGCAGAGAGCAGGATTCAAGAACAGGGGCTGGAGCGGCAGAAACAAGTCTCGAAGCCGCAGTTGCCAGGGGTTGAGTTAAAATCTGTGTCACCAGGTCGGGCCACAGTCCCGCAGATTCCCCCCCAAAAAAGGAACGTGCGTCTTTCTCCACGCTGCTCGTGCGCGACTGAACTCTTGTGTTGCTTTCAGGGGGAGAACGGAAGTGCGCCGTACGAGAACTTGCACCCCGCCTCTGAGCCCCGACGACCCGGGGGCAGGGGTTTCTGAAGCCGTTCTCGGCCTCGCCAGGCGCAGCTCAAAGCCTCGAGGTTGAAAGCGTACCCCACCTGAAGTTCCTCTGCTCTTGTTTCCTGCCTGGCTGCAGTCTGAGAAGCACCGCTCCAACCACAGACCACACTGCAGCTTACAACTGCGTCAGGCTTCAGCTTTGAGGAAGTGAGATTCGCTTAAGAACACAGGCGCTCAGGCCTCTGCAACCCATCTGTTCCAATCCACTTTGCCGCAGTGCGCCCGGTAGTTTAACCGTTATTCTGATCCTTATATCCATCACTGGATGATTCCCAAGTGTCTCCAGGCGAGCTGCGGGACTTGGGGCAAGATTTGAGGTCAATATCCAGAGTTCATCACCAGCGTGACCGGGACTCCCCAGGCAGCGCACCACCGGATTGGCTGTGCTCACAGAGGCACCTGCCGTTGCCGGGGCGCCGTCCGTGAGGGACAGGTCTCTTCTCCAATGGGCGCTGCGCTTTTTTACCTGTGAAAAGGAGTGGACATATCAGAACCTGCCGGCACTTCCTCATTCTCCCCTGTGTGGAGTCAAGGGAAGGGTAACTCAACTACCACACACAAACAGGTATTCACTTGAACAGATGCTGTATCATACAGAGCTTATTAAACTATAGAAGCAAATAAAACAGTAGAAATCTGACTCTGGCCTGGAAACAATACTCCTTGATTTGGGAGCCGCAGCTGAGGGTTTCGCAAGATCTCTACAGACGAGCAGGCTTGCGGTCAGAGCTATGTGCTCTATGCCTCGGCTCTTTGTACCCTTTCACGGAACAGCAGCGCAAAACCCCAAACAACAACCGTAAGAAAAAAAAGGTCACCGGAAGACAAGCACAGCAGATCTAGACTCCGGAAGACGGGGTGCGATTCAATTCAGAATCCTCACTGGTGACATTTGAAGGAGCACACTTGAAAGGCAGCCAGTGTCAAAAGACTTGATGCAGTAAACTATACCCCTGCAATGAGTACAACGGTCCTGATTAAAAGGCTTTCGCACAAAATCGAGAAGACCAAACTTCCACTGCAAGTCTTTAAAAGAGGCGGCGGGGATGCTCCGTTCTTTTTAAAGCAGATAAAACAACAGGACGAAACACGCGCTTCACCGCAGCACCTCTTCAGAGGAATTCACAAATGTAAAAACTAAAAATGATACTTTTGACATATTTCCACTGTGTCTCTCGCTATTTGATTCTTCGCATTTTAACGGAATTTAAATAAAAAAGTAATTCTACTTTAAAAGCAAGAAGAGAGGGAGCAGTATGAGACCATTTACTTTGGTGGATTAACTATTTAGCCAAAATAACTAACAGATGAATAATAAAAACATGTCCTTTATCCAACTCAGATCTAACAAAATATAACACAGTATCAGAATCTTTCCATTTAACATTTACCTTTGAATGCAGAACAATAACATTTCGCAGATCTATTCAAAACAGTTTTGTATATAAGCAGTGAACAAACAAATGTCACAAAGATTATAATTGCCCGTCAGGCCCTCTTCAACGTCATCTTCCGTCGACACGGGACCCTTCAACCCGTTTCCGGGTGTCATTCTAATGTTAGCAAAAGTTTACATACATGGGTGTAGCGTTAAAAAAAACTACCTTTGTTCAGTCTTGTTCTGCCATTTGTACACTTATATGTACAACTCTCCCCGGTTGTTGTATTTTCCCTTTTGTATTTACCAAAATAAAAACTTTTTATAAAACAACAACAAAAGAAATCTCTTGCCGGGGCTACTGGTCGCGTCTGTTTTTACGTCACTTCCGGGTAAGCGAACAGGCGCTTCGCGTTCCTGCGAGCGAGCATGCGCGCCTTACACCTGGATTAAATCAACGAGTTAGTGGGGAAAAAAAACGTACCTCAAAAGACACTCCTTTTACTTTTTTTTTAATAACCCCTGCATGCACGTTAATATGTTATAGGGCCCCTCCTTAACACAGACTCTGGGCAGTTTCCACTCCGTTGAGGGGGGAATCTGGCATGGGAAGACAGGTCTGCTTGCACCAGTGACCGGGAGAGGGGCTCTCGGTCGCAGCTGCAAACAAAGATCTTTCCCTAACCCCTCTTGAAGAAGGTTTCAGTTGCAGGAGAGAGCAGTGCCCAGGACGTGATTCTAGTGTTCTAGTCTCTGGTGTTCCCAGTCTCGTAATCGACCCCCCTCCGTCAGAGCGGCCCAGACCTGGACCTGGAGACCCCCAGAGTAATCAGACCCACAGCTGGCCGCTCTGAATCCTGGGAGCGGCAGACCAGCAGGCTGTGGATCCCTGATGAAGAATAATAATAATAATGTCTTACACTTATAGAGCGCTTTTCTGGACACTCCACTCAAAGTGCTTTACAGGTCATGGGGATCCCCTCCACCCCCACCAGTGTGTACCCCACCTCGATGATGTGACGGCAGCCATAGTGCGCCAGTACACTCTCCACACACCAGCTCTCAGTGGGGAGGAGAGCAGAGTGATGAAGCCAGTTCAAAGATGGGAATTATTAGGAGGCCATGACTGGTAAATGGGAAATTTGACCAGGACCCTGGAGTAACACCCCTACTCTTTTCGAGAGACGCCCTGGGATTGTTAATGAGCACAGAGAGTCAGGACCTCGGTTTTATGTCTCATCCGAAGGACGGCGCCTGTTTACAGTCCAGTGTCCCCCGTCACTATACTGGGGCATCAGGACCCACACAGACCGCAGGGTGAGAGCGCCCCTTGCTGGCCCCACTCACACCTCTCCCAGGAGTCTCCCCTCCAGGTACTGACCAGGCTCCCCCTGCTGGGCTCCAGTGGGCTGTGAGCTGGGTGAGAGTGCCCCCTGCTGGCCCCACTCACACCTCTCCCAGCACCAACCTTAGTTTTTCCCAGGAGTCTCCCCTCCAGGTACTGGCCAGGCTCACACCTGCTGAGCTTCAGTGGGTTACCAGTTGTGAGTTGCAGGGTTATTTGGCTGCTGGCCTGGAATCTTCCCTCCAGGCTCAGCTCAGAGGAAGTACCCAGACAAACATCACTTTATTGATAGAAAAATGTATTAAACGTGTAAAGATGTTGCACAGTAACAGTTTGCATTCAACATCCCAGCTTTAAGCCAGTTAGATTAAGATATACAGCATTTTGAAAAAAACAAAGCTTTCTTACAGAGAGTTCCCCCAGTCAGAAGACAAATCAGAAGAGAACAGTAACACACAGAGTACAGAAATACAGGAGGTTTTACTGAGAGCAGCTGGTACTGAAGAAAGAGAGAATTGTTCATACAGATCTGTCCAGTTCACTGTCTGTCCCCAGTGTCCGATAACTCCCTCAGCTCCTGTGCAGACTGCAGTCTGTCTGTCCTCAGTGTCTGATAACTCCCTCAGCTCCTGTCCAG